GAGCATCTAGATAATTCTAGAAAAATACGACAGTACGTTGGGAAGCGTGCAATCCCGATAGGGAGGACGCTGCGGAGGCCATCCGTTACCCAAGGGGGGATGGATGGCAGAATTTACATATGGACTAGCCCTAAAAAGGGGGAGTACGCATAGCAAAAGAGTGGTTAGCGGGGAGGGAAGACACGGGTCCGCCCAGGGGGGGGGGGACTTAACCGTGGCTGAATAAGCATATGGGATCGCCTAGTGGGGACCACGCATAGCAGGCACCTTTACCCAAAACGCGGGCTGACCAGCGGGCAGACCTACAACGTAGTGGGCCAGCAAGTGACTCCTCCGCTGAGTCAGTGCTGGGGGCCACGGAGGAATCTGCAGGGCTCACCTGACGGGGAACTTTACTGACAGATAAAAAGGCGCACGTATCTCCGTGTTAGGGAAAATGGCGCAGCAAGCGTGTTTCAACACCCTACCGAATTGTTTCCTCAATCACCAAGGGTTACCTAATACCCTTGAGGAAACCGGCTCCACTCGCAGATTGTAAAACCTTGCAAATGTGTTGGGTGTTACCCAGCCCGCAGCTCTACAGATGTCTGTTAGAGGGGCGCCGCGTGCGCACGCTCGAGAGGATGCGAAGCTCCGAGTGGAGTGCGCACGCGCTCTCGGGGGACGCGGCTCATCTCGGCTCTGATAGTGAAAGAAAGGCATCCACAATCTAGTGGGAACTTATTTCGGTACGGCACTTCCCTGCTGCCGACCGCTATGACAGACGAAGAGCTGCTCAGATGATCTAAACTCTGAGTGCGGTCCGGATAATACGCAAAACGCGAACTGGACAATAAAGAAGGGCTGGGTCTGCCTCCTCCGAGGGCAGCGCTTGCAGGCTCACTACCTCGTATTAAAACGGAGTGGTAGGAACCTTGGGCACATATCGTGGGCGGGGTCTCAGAACGTGAGAGAAGCCAGCCCAATTACAGGCACGAGTCACTGACCGAAAAATGCCTCCGGGTCCCCGACCCTCTAATCGATATCAACGCGACCAGCAGAGCTGTCTTCAGGGACAGAAATATACTGAGTCGAGGATCGAAGGGATCTGACGCGGCTTGTGTAGCGAGGGCGAGATCCTAAGAGGGCATGAGAGGGGGCGGGGTGGATTAATTCGCTTAACGCCCCTGAGGAACCGGATGATGAGGTTATGCGTTCCCACGGTGCTGCCAGCCACCGCGTTATGAGAGCGGAGATGGCAGCCACGTAACCTTGAGTGTGGAGGGCGACAGCCTGCTCTCCAACTTCTCTCGGCGTAAAGAAAGCACAACGCTGATCTGGCAAATTACGGGGGTCTTCTCAGCGAGAGACACACCATTCAGTGAATAGACTTCACGTCAGGGCATAGGCGCGCTCGGGGAGGGGGCTCTAGCCCGAGTGACGGTATTAGCCACCGCAATCGGAGGTTACCTAAGTCTTCCTCGCGTCTAAAAATCTCTTCAAAGATCGGTGAGGGTGCCAGGTGGTGCCCTGTCCCTGAGAGAGTAGGTGCTCTCTCGAAGGGACTGCCAGGGGAGGGCTATCGCGAGGGAGAGCTCTGACATCCAGGTCCGGTTGAGCCAGAGGGGCGCAACCAGCAAACTGTTCCTCGTCCTCCCTGACCTTGCACAGTAACTGCGCGAGCAGGCTCACTGGGGGAAACGCGTATTGCGCGTGCCCCGAGGCCAGCTGTAAGCCAGTGCATCCGTGCCGAGAGCACTCGGTCAGGGAAAGAACAACTGGCAATGAGCGATCTCGGGGGAAGCAACAGATCGATCTGGGCTTCCCCGAATCGCGCCCATATCAGCTGAACAGACTCGGGGTGGAGTCTCCATTCTCCAGGACGCAAGGCTGCCGTGAGAGCGCATCGACTGCACGGTTGAGCTTGCCTGAATATGAATGGCGTGCAGCGATTTCAGCCGCGGATGACTCCAGAGGAGCAGACGGCGGGCGAGCTGAGACATGCGGCGAGAGCGCATACCCCCTATACGGCTGATATACGCCACCGCCGCCGTACTGTCCGTCCTGACCAGCACGTGTTGCCGCTCCAACACCGGAAAAAAACGGTGGAGAGCGAGGAACACTGCCAACAGCTCCAGGCGATATGCCAATGCAACTGGGTACCTTTCCACAGGTCCGCAGCCGCATGCCCGCAACGCACAGCCCCCCAGCCCGTGTTGGAAGCGTCTGCTGAAACGACAACAAGACTGGACGCCTGTTCTAGAGACACCCAGGCCTGTAGGAACGAGGGGTCGCTCCAAGGGCTGAGGGCGCGGCGACACAGCGCAGTAACAGAGACTCGGTGTGCGCGCGCGTGCCATGCGCGTCTGGGGACTCGATCGTGAAGCCAGTGCTGAAGTGGTCTCATATAGAATAATCCGAGCGGCATGAAGCGGCTGCGGATGCCATATGCCCCAGGAGCCTCTGAAATAGTTTCAGTGGGACCACTATTTTACTGTCGAGCTCTCTCAGACAGTACAGCATCAGCTGAGCGCGCTCTCCGGAGAGGCGCGCTGCCATGGTGACCGAGTCCAGCTCCAGCCCGAGAGAAGAGATCCTCTGCACGGGGGCGAGTTTGCTCTTTTCTCGGTTGACCTGAAACCCCCACAGGTGGAAGTGCCAGAGCACTTTGTCTCTGTGCATAATCAACTCTGTGCATAATCAAAGAGAGGGCAAAATTCAGCCAGTCGTAAAGAAATTGAGTATGCAGATGCCCGCGAGCCGAAGGGGCGCTGAGGCACCCTCCGCGGGCTTGGTGAGGACCCGCGGAGACAGAGAGAGCCCGAAGGGGAGGGCTTTGTATTGCCAAGCTCGACCTTCAAACGCAAACCGCAGAAACTCGGTGGCGAGGAGAGTGGAGACATGGAAATACGCGTCCATCAGGTCTAATGCTGCAGACCAAAGAGCAAGTTCCCTCTTCTCCAGATGGCCTGTCCCAGGGGCGCTTCGCGGTCCGTTGCCGGACTTAGCGGCGTTCTGGGCAGGGGGGCTGCCTGCTTCCGAGGTGCCCGACGCGCTCGCTTCGCCGGAGGCGTGTGCGGGGGCGGAGCAGCTCTCGTAGGCGGGCGCCTTCGGCGAGGAGCAGGTATGAATGGCACGGCGGGCGGAGCGGGCTACGGACCGCCGATAGACATCACCCACCAACTGCTCTCTCACCGTCTTGAATTCCTGGGTGAATTCACAGACAGTGTCGCCGAACCTGGCTGGGGATATGGGGAAGTCAAGAAAGCGGACTTTGTCGACTTTGCGCATATCAGCCAGGGGTGGCGCTCCTGGACCACTAATGTGGACATCGTCCTCCCCAACGCACACGCAGCGGACTCAGTAGTCCGAAGAGCTAAGTCGGCGGCGGTGCGAAGCTCGTAAGCCTGGGTTGGACCCACCCTCGTGCAGCTCGGCCAGCGCCTGCGCTTGGTAGCGCTGGTAGGTGGCTATCGCATGCAAGGCGGAAGCAGCCTGGCCCGCAGCTATGTAAGCTCTAGCTCCGAGGGAGGTAGATAACTTACAGGCTTTGGATGGGAGACGAGGCGGACCCCGCCAAGAAGAGGCGCCGCGCGGATTTACCGCCATCGCGCACTCAACCTGAGGAATCGCCACATACCCCCTGGCTGTTTCACCGTCAAGAGTGGTTAGGGTGGAGGAACACGCAGCACGAGCAGAAAAAAGTGCTTTACAAGACCGCGTGAGCCTACTGTGCACCTCCGGGAAGAAGGGAACGCCCCTCTAGTCGGTCCGGCCGCGGAGCTGGGGGATAAACCATCTCCAACCCACGGCCGAAGCAGCCCGGGAAAGCACGGCTAACATGTCCGTTTCAGGATCCGTAGTGACAGCGCTCACCAGCCCGAAGGGGGCGAGCGGGTCTGGATCATCATCGGACAATGAAAGCCCACCCTCCGATGCCGCGGTGGACATCTGGTCTCCGGTGTCATCGGGCGTAAGGGCTACCATCTGTTAGACGGATCGCTTCCCCCGCCCGAAGCTTGGATGGAGCGCTTAGAGGAGCGGGAGGTCCGCGGGCCCGTGGGCGACGGATTATCTCTCGCTGAAACCCTCAGATCTGCCCGAGTGCCCGCTGCAGAGCAGGGGACAACTGGGGTGGTTCGCCCTTTTGCAAAGGCTAACCGCGATCTTGCGCAACAGTCATGGCATCGCAATGACGACATGAACTGCCCGCGAGCAGCGCATTAACATGCTGGACCCCCAGACATGCAACGCAGTGCCCGCGCCCATCATCCGAGGACAGGAAACCACCGCATCCAGAAACGCACAGTCGGAGCGCCGTCCTGATAAGGACGTGCTGCACGACTGTGTTGCTCTTTCTGTGAAGTTTGCAACTTTATACGCACCGCTCTGGAGGACCGGACCCAAAGAACGCCAGGCAAGGGAGAAACCCAGCTCGACCGTCTGCCACTGCGTGTACACACTCTGGACCGGGAGAATGCTCTCGTTCGCTCAGAATCGCTGGTCACAGCAGGAGGAACCCTCATCGACTTGATCAGAAAGTCTCTGAAGCGAAAAGGATAGCGTCTGCTGGTGCCAGGTGAGCTTATATACTCAGTTGATTGCTTATGCCGCTCACCTGCGCAGGCTTGCGCTGCCAATTCATTCTTAATTGGCCCGTTCAATACTCTTTCAGACGAGTAGCTTCTGAACCGAACCTCCCAATGCGTGGATTTTACAATCAAATCCACTTATAGTGCTGAAGTTCCCCCCGAAGGGGAACTTAATTGTTTCATGTTTAATCCACTCTATTTTGTAAAAACGAATAATGTTTAAACAAATTTTGCTGAAACAACAAATGAACGACTTGTGTAAAACCATGCATTTTTTAGTGTATGTCTTTGGGTCAGAACAGATCTGAATATATTATAAGAGCTACAAAAAAAAGAAACGAGACAAACTGAAAACTTGCATGGATCAGTTTTTATTTCTCTTTTTTTTTTTGTTGTTGTTGCTCAAATGCAAAATATTTCCAATTTCAGGGCCTCAGAGAACATCACCAACAGTACCTAAAAACATGCCCACGCCACAGAGGGTGACGACCACCATAAGGAAGAACCCCACACATGCCCGAAACGGGGGGAGTGATGCTGAAATCACGGAGCTTAATCAACAGGTAGAGTCCCCGGGAGGGTAAGGATGACTTACTCTACCTTAGAATACTTTGGATTGTATAGGAAGAAAAGTGTAGGAAGATTTTGCTTTTGTCATCTTTTTGTCTTCCTTATCTTCAGACCATTCCTGATCTTCTATCCCAGCTGTTCAGATAATCGCATTTAATATTCTGAAATTAGTCTAGAAGTGAATCGTGTCATTATAATAATCAAATAGACTTTTTCATGAAACCCTTCACTACCTTCTTTAAGATTTTAACAGATTTGTGTTTGTTGAGCGTCAATTAAGACAACATTAGCACCTGTTAGCTTTAATTGAGGGGAAAATGGATCATTCTGAGATTTTGTCTGCTGTTTTGATGAGCTGTATCTTCATTTTGTTCTTTGTCTTGTGCTTTTTTTTTGAAGTTGATGGAGTTGAAGTTAACTGTTGACGGTCTGGAGAAGGAGAGAGATTTCTACTTCAGCAAACTACGAGACATTGAACTGATCTGTCAAGACCATGAGGCTGAAAGCAGCCCGGTTATCAGTAGGATAATTGACATTCTGTATGCCACAGAGGTACTTCTAATGCCTTTATATGTTTTGTTTTGTTTTTTGCCAATTATATGACTGATCTACTCATCAGGTCAATTCATACACCGAATACAATTCATATTCAAAACACCGGAAAAAAAAAGACTAAAAGTCAAGACAACAAATATTTGTTGTTTAAGTTAATCAGATTTCAACTACATTTTTTAAGCTATGCAAAGTAAAAGTTTATGGGCCCTATCATACACCAGGCGCAATAAGGCGCAAGACGTGTTTGGGCGATGTGTTGCTATGTTCAGACCAACGCAAAGCAGTTGTTCTGCTTTGCACCATGTTGTTTAAATAGCAAGTCCATTTGCCCGGCTTTTTGGACTCTTGGGTGTTCGGTCCAGAATGGAGGTGTGTTAAGGCGCATTATTGCTGTGTTGCTATTTTGAGTAATTAAAATAGACTGCAGGTCTAAAGTCTAGCGCAGAGCCCTTTAGTTGTGTGCCTTAGTATACACATTGCTTAATACGCACAGGATGTACAGCAATACGCAGTTATCTTTACAAATGAAAAAGAATTAAAGGATTAAAATATTGTACAAAAATTATAACTTTCTACGGAAATATAAAATCCACTAAGTATAGGAGGAGGACAGGAGGAGGCTCGTTCTTTATCCTTGTGTTGTAGATGGTGTGTTTAACTGTTTTCTCGCTAGTGAAGCGTTCAGTTTTTTTTTAATTACAAAATCCGCCACGTAAAAAGCAAATGCGCAATGATGTGAATCAACTGACTGTTAAAAGGAATAGGGGATAAGACTTATTAAGAGAATAAGCACACCGTTAGACCATTTGTCACGGTGTGGAGCATATTTTTCTGTCCTGAAAATAGCAAAAGTGGATTCGTACATGCCCTTAATGCTTTTGCGCCCTGCTATTAAGACTTTACGCCTAGATCATTAAATAGAGCCCTAAATCTAAATTTTAATCAGTTGTTGAGATGACTAGTTAATTTGATTCAAATAAAAAATGTAAGGCAGCAAGATTTTTTAACATTATAATTGGCAAAATCAAGATCTGTGTTTTTTTTTTACTTTAAAAACCTTAAAGAAAGCTTTTTTTTTTAAGGCTACGTTCACACTGCAAGGCTTAGTGCTCAAATCTAATTTTTTCTCAGATCTGATTTTTTTGCATGGCTGTTCACACTGCTCTTATAAATGTGGCCAATATCAGATTTGCAGTGTGGACAGATCATGGTCCTAAACTGACCCGCATGCGCAAAAGTGCATTATGCAGAGCACAAAATGTCTAATTATCCGCACACGTGTATGCTGCATGAGTAAGCACGTTGTCAGATCATGCTTTTATGATTATTACCTTTTTCACGGACAACCGTGGTGTAATTCATAAAGTGTAAATGATTGCTCTGCTACTACTAATGTGTATTTCGGCATTTGAGACCTAAAATAAGTCTCCTGTGATAAAAAAAAAAAAACACTGATCGTTTGTGATTTATGACAAGTGCTGTGCGTGGCGCTCTGACCACCGGTGTAGTGAACTCATCAAGGGTTAATGAGCAGCCGCAGACTGAACTGTGAAGGCGGAGTTGGTTTATCTCAGTTTGCGGAGTCATTTAATTTTACTTCGTTATAAACAGCAGACACATGCAGAAGAGCGGTTTGGGTGCTTGAGCAGCTGCCCTTTTTTTTCTCTCGAAGAGAAAGTTCTTCCTCATTTGCACCCGAATCCCCTATCTGCAACACCCACAACGCTTTTCAGCTTCGTGATCAACCCGTGCCTCAATCGTTAAACAGATTAGTTAACAAGGACCAGTTATGCCTTCAAAATCTTTTTCAACATGAACAACCAACTTTCTGTGGTGCTGTAATCGCCCTGTGTACTATTCTACTGTGCTGCTGAGGGGTAGATGAAGTCTGCAGCACAGAATGATGACGCATGTCACCCAAAGATTACGTAAAAGTCACATGAAATCCGACATGACCGTTCACACTGTGGTCGCATTGCAGAACATCAGATCTGTGTCTGATTTAAGACCACATATGGAAGTGGCACAGATCTGACCTGAAAAGATCAGATTCCATGCGGTTTGGGCTGTTCACACTGTCAGTCACATGAGGGGGAAAAAAATCAGATTCGGGCCACATTTACCTGCAGTGTGAACGTAGCCTAAGTGGTCAACATGGTGCAAACTTCAAACAAATGTTAAATCTTGTTTTAAAGCTTGTTTTAAATTGTGTTAACCATAAACATCTTGTTAAATATCCTTGCATGAAACAATGGATTAAATAAAAAAGCTATTAAAATACAATCTTACATATTCAGGATTTAGGAATAATATTTTGCCTTAAAAAATGCTAAATTTGACATTCAGTTTTTGAGGTGAACTCTACAACTCAACACCATTCCAATTCATATGGGCACTTTAAAACTGAAAATGTTTGCGAAATAGTAAAGACAATTGCATGAAATAGCAGTAACTTTCAGTTTAAATCAAAGAAATGAAAAATCAAACATACAGAAGTTCTTTACAGCTTTTTAATTCCTCTGCATTGACAGGCATATTTGAACTTTGTCCTAGTATTATTTTTATTTGTATTAATCTTAATTTTGTTATATATATATATATATATATATATATATATATATATATATATATATATATATATACATACACACACACACACACAATTATATAACAATTATATACAAACAATTATATACAAGAATACGAACATAAAATTTTTTTTAATTATGCTTTAATACAGGAGTTCCCAAACTTTTTTCCCAAAACAATGATTGTGACTCGCGACCCCCAATATCCTCTGAGGTGGTTATAAATTCAGAAAACTTGCATGCAATGGTGCACACACACACACACCAATAGACCAAAGTCTATTCTTCTGTTAATTTTTTTTTTTATGTATATCAGTGCTGTAAACGGGCCAGAAAGTTTAACCTGGTGTTATAAAATCAATCTGCTGCATCTGACGCTATTGCTGTCTTTAATATAATGTATTTACCCCAGGGGTCGCAATCCAATAGAACAAGTAAATAAGCTACTATAATAACTATAAACGACTGTTTTTTTCTCTTCAGTTGGTTATGGATAAAATATGTTAATTCTTATGGCCTAATAATAATAAGTAGATTTTTGGAAATCACCAGGCGACCCCCCTTCATTGTTCTGCGACCCCTCAAGGGATCCCGACCCCCACTTTGAGAACCACTGCTTTAATACATGGCATTTTGTGCCACTTACATGTTGTGCACACTTACATTGGTGCCCTTTGTTTAGTAATACATAGGCCCACATAAAATCTGCGTGCACAAAAATCAGCAGATCTCATCAGATTTTTAGCCCATCATTAAATCAGTTTTTTTTTTACTGTAAATTTATGTTTATCAATTTTTAAATTAATTACAGTAATGTTATTGACTAATATAAAAATGTTCATATGATTTATTCACAATATAGTTTGTGATGTAATATTTTGTCTTGTATTAGCTATATTACATGAGAGACTTGCTTTGTTTACCAAATAAATGGGTCTAATTGGCCTTGCATTGTAAATATTAAATAAAAGTAAAAAAAAAAAAAAAAGGTTTTCCCAGAGATGGGTTGCGGCTGGAACGACATCCACTGCATAAAAACTTGCTGGATAAATTGGCAGCTCATTCCGCTGTGGCGACCCTGGATTAATAAAGGGACTAAGTCGACAAGAAAATGAATGAATGAAGTTTAAAAGGTATTATTTTTCATTTCTTTGATTACGTTTTTAGTTACTTCGATACTCCCAAAATCATTCTGCATAAATCTGCTGATTTGTTACAAAATTATCTGCAGAAATAGCAAAAAAATTCTGTCTGGACCTAGTCGTAAGGCATTACATGTTGGTCATAAAAGTGATGGGAAATAGTCAAATGCCTAATATGAAACTGCACTAAAATCACTGTAATATTTCAAATGTTACTTTAATTGTATACATTTATAGAGGCAGAAATCCAAGTTTAAAATCCATGATCATGCTAAAAGATGCTCATTCTTCATACAGGATGGCTTTGCACCACCAGAAGATGATGAAATCGACGAGCAGTCTCACTTGGACCAGGACGAATACTGAGCCTCCTCTTCCACATGGTCGTGACCCGTTCACCATTTCCTCTCCCCATCACTTTGAATGAGTCCCCCCCAAAACGCACGATCTTAAAATCCCCTCAGTTTCCTCCAGATCTATGGGCTCACCATATATACTCGATCTGTTTGTCCTCTGACACTGGTTTATGCACCTCATCCAGACAGTAGCATCACCACCACCACCAACAACAACAACACATCCTAGCAGTCTCAGCATGTATTACATATCGACATAGAGAATGAACTACAAAGGTAGGCATATATTGTGGGTAGCGCAACGGACTGAGAAAAAAATGTAAATATTGTGATGGGAAAGACATTTTTAAAAGGAAAAAAGTAGACAGGTGTCTCCTGGAATGCAGTCGTTTGTTGTGAGAATTTCATACACATTTCCTTTAAGGTCTGCCTTGGCTCCATTCAGTATGAAATGATCAGTATCAGTCTATCATCTGTGTCTTCGGCTCTAATGTGTTTCTCTCACTGACTCCACACTTTACATTTCTGATAGTTCACTCAGAAATAACGATTCTGTTTTCATTTACTCACCGTCAAGTTGTTCCTTACCTGTAGGACTTTACGAAGAGGGATAAAAATAAGGTAATTTTTTCCACATGGTTACAATAACCAAAGAGCTTAGAATCACCAAGAGGAGAAGGGTCTGTCTGCGGACTGCAAGACAGGGGCATAACGTGACGAGGCCTTTGGGGCATAACTTGTAGTACATTAGAGGCGAAACTTGATGTTTGAGGCCCACATGTCAAAACTATATTGTCAGCAAGATGGCGCTGTACCTAAGTTATTACTGCCTACGCCTACTCCACACCTAAACCCAACCATCACAGTTATTAACTCTTCACCTTCCCCAAACTTAAACTCAACCATTACAGTTATTAACATACAGCAACAAATTGCAGAGAATTTCATACTTGACACGCTTGCCATTGTACTGTTATTTGCAACCACAGGGGGCGGCGCCAAGTTGACTGTCATGGCAAAACAGATAAAGTCAGCGAGTGAAGTAGCATGGTGGAGTTGCTAATGAATATAATATTATATCAAATGAATTGGTTGTGGATAAATTTAGAGAAAGCTCATGAAACATTTGCTGAAAATGTTCTCTGGTAAGTATTTCCGCCATCACGTTGTGACGATAACTGCAAGTTTCGCCTCTTCATCATACGCCCCCATCTTTCAGTCTGCAGACAAATTCACTTGACCAAGTGGCGACACTCTGTTGCTATTTGGGGAAACAGCCACTAGATGGCGCTAGTGTCATGCAGAGGCCATTTTGGAATGAAAATTCCGATAAAATAACAGCACGTATAACTAACGCTAGACAGAATGAAAGACATAAATATGAGTTCAATATTATATATTCATACCCCACTATTGGAAAGCAACATTTTAAACAATATCTCAGTGAAAAGAAAACAATTTCCAAATGTTGACAAGACTATGATTTATATAATATCTGTTTAACCTATGATAGGAAAGTATACAAGGTTAACAAAATAACTTCAATTACAATTTTTTTTTTGCTTTATTTAAATTAGGGTGGTGCAAAAATGAGTATACCACACATTAAAAACTACTTTTTCTAGTTTGTATGGCCACCATGGTTTTTAATGACAGCACCGAGATTTCTAGGCATGGAATGAACAAGTTGGCTCCATTTTAAAACATCTATCTTTTCCATTCTTCAAAAATGACCCCTCTTGTAAAATTGCTCAAAGAGATGCTCAATGTAATGCCTCTTCAGAATTCCCCATATGTGTTTAATTGGATTCAGATCAGTACACATATTTATAATAATAATATACATTAACATAGGTGTGTGTGTGTGTGTGTGTGTGTGTGTGTGTGTGTGTGTGTGTGTGTGTGTGTGTGTGTGTGTGTGTGTGTGTGTGCGCGTGTGTGTGTGTGTGAATGATTAATTTATGTGTCAGAATTCAATCATTTTGGACAAAGTGGCTTTTTACATAAAAGCTTTATTAGTCTTTCTTTAACAGACAACACTGGACAAAAATACTATCTACTATTACATATAATACTGCAGCAAAAAGTGTACTGCGAGTCTGTTATCAACATCCCTTTTTAAAAGTCATGTTAATTTAATTGAACATGTCAGTATTCATTTATATTATGCCAGTGCATAAACTAATAAATTAAAGCAGTTTAAAGTCATTTCAGCTAAAAGTGAGTTTCAAAAAAAATGAGTATGGTCAAAATATATACATTAGGTCTGTAAAATAAATGATGAATAAAATAGATGATTGTGATAGTAAGTGTTGTATTTTTGTTTTTCAGGTTGCATCTTAGCTTTAATGTGCTTTTTAAATAAATTAATGACAAACAAAGCAGCTGCTTGCCATCATGTAAGCAATAAGATATGGTCGATCGCTTTCAATCCAAAATGGCAGAATCGCCGGAATCGCTCTATTGAGTGTCGCCTCTTGGTGATTCTAAGCTCTTTGCAATAACTGAAGCGTTTAGGCTTTAAACAGGATGTGATCTGTATGCTTTATTCTTATTTATTTGAGCAGTTTTTGTTAAAATAGCAGCATTAATTTATAATTTAAACAGTTTTCTGATGATGAAATCAATTTGTACAATATATATTCTCGTCCTAACAAGGTGTTGTTTTGTTGAACTGTGAGCTGATTCACTTTGAGTATTATTATTGTCATTTTCAATGATAGATCAAATATAAAAACAGTGTTTTTATTTAGTGTCGACAATGTTACAATAAAATATATTGTTTCAAGAACAACTCGTTATTATGAGAAAATATAGCGTTTTAACAAGACAGCATCTTGCTATTACAGCATCGTTGAGTCTACAAAATAAAATGTGGTAGCAATGTGCCACAATATTGAAGAACTGTATCTTGAATTCTATTTAATTAAATTGAAGCCTTTCACCCAGCGGTGTCCAAACTCCTGCGAAGTTTAGTTCCAACTACAATCAGACACACCTGGGATAGCGAATTAAGCTTTTAATAGGCTTTCTAGAAACATCCTTGCAGGTTTGTTGAGGTTAGTTGGAGCTAAAATCTGCAGGACAGGATTGAGTTTGGAATCCCCTGCTCTCAGCAATACATTTTAGACTGTATTTCACACAAAAAGTTATCTTACAGCTACAATATACATTGCATTTACAGTTGAAGTCAAAATTATTAGCCCCCTTTTTCTTTTTTAATATTTCCCAAATGATGTTTAACAGAGCAAGGAAATTATACAGTATGTCTGATAATATTTTTTCTTCTGGAGAAAGTCTTATTTGTTTTATTTTGGCTAGAATAAAAGCAGTTTTTAAGTTTTTTAAAATCCATTTGAAGGTCAAAATTATTAGCCCCGTTAAGCTATTTTTGTTTTGGATTGTCTAACCTGCCATCTAGTCAAATAGTAATTACTGTCATCATAGCAAAGATAAAATAAATCAGTTATTAGAAATGAGTTATTGTAACTATTATGTTTAGAAATGTGCTGAAAAAAAGCTTCTCTCCGTTAAACAGAGATTGGAGAAAAAATAAACAGGGGGGCTAATAATTCTGACTTCAACTGTATGTCCAATTTACATTTATTTATGCTGCTTTTACATACTTTTTAAAGCTTGAAATCTTCCATCCAGTCTACAATCAAAACAACACATCTTAAACAACACAACGGTGAATAATTAATGATAAAAATGTCATTTTTAGGTGAACTGTCCCTTTAATGAAAAAAACATTCAAATATCAAGTCCATCAATCTTTTATATCTGCTAAGATACCGATGTCAAGCTCGTCAGTGACATGATGGACAACTGTAAATGCTAAGCTGCGGACAGGACTTTTATACTTTTAAACGTGGATGAGCCAGTGACAGGGTCAACTCAAATGGCTTTAAAATGTGTAATGTACAGTATGACAGGTTGTTTTGCTAATTACCCAGGGAGCATGTGAATGTTATACATTGACAATTGATGAGTGAATGTTCAAAAATCGTTCTTGTTTTTCTTTTTGTGCTGGATTTTGACATTCTGACTCCTCAGATTGACAAGTGGAAGCTCAGCATATTGATGGAAAGTGCTGTCAGCGTCAAATCTAGCTTGTTTTCATGAGAGCGTTGAGCATGAGGGACAGAACTCGTTGTTATTGTGCACATTTTTTTTTATTTTAGTGGCAATCAAACACGAGATACTACTGATCAGATGATGTCATGTCGAATTGAACTGACGTTTGCTGCTAGTGTTGCTGCATTAATGTGACTCTTTGTTCGTTTTTGTATTTTTTTGGCTCAGCTATTGAATAGCAAATGGGCTTATAACCATAAATCACTTCAGATTTGTAAAAGGCCCGGATCAAATTAGACAGAAATGCCAGACGCCGCAGTCACTGGTTTCAACCTCTCTCTGTGTAGAGAACCTGAGTCGTCTTGTATTGTCTCAGTATGGCCATAATTGTGTTTGCATACATTGTTTTGAGTAAATAAACATTGGTGAAAATTGACATTGTCCACGCATTCTATACAACAAACCATCATGACAAAATGCATTTTTATTATTCTTTATGCTTAAGATTTAAAATGTAACCTCTCATTGATACTCATCCAAAATGCCTCAGCAGATTTACCATTAGTCCATCTGTGGGAGGAAATGACTGGATAACTGCAATGAGTTTAAAGCAACAGCACAACATTACTCTTCGAAGAGCTTCACTGAGCACCTGCAGCCCTCTGCTCTATAGAGACCGACCTAAAAGCAGAGATCAGCAGAGATCAGTCCCTTTATTAATCCGCGGTCGCCACAGCGGAATGAACCGCCAACTTATCCAGGACATTTTTACGCAGCGGATGCCCTTCCAGCCGCAACCCATCTCTGGGAAATTTTTTTAATAACATACAATTTAATATTAACCTCATCTCAATGAGCCTGGTGGACACCATGTTTTCAGCACAAGACTATTTGTTTAATTTTGGAGATCATCCTCCATGTTCAGTTTTGGCCTGTATTTATTTTCAATGTCTTTAATTATCATAAAGGAGTCAGAATGTTTTACCTGGTGCTATAAAATCAGTCTGTGTTAATCTATCGTACTAATCTAATACGCGATCCTATGAAAAAATAATTAAAGGCTGCGTTCTTTTTATTTGCATGTTGTTGCTTTTTATGTATCGATCAACTACTATTTTTATTTACTGCGGGTTATGGATAAAATATTAATTAATTAATACTGTAAGATTTTGTGAATACTGCATCTTATTTTTTTTGCGGATAAACTAGTCAGATGTCATCATATCTACACTTTAATAATGTAATAAAAATTGCCAAAAAAATTAAACAAGAATAATTTTTAAAACACAAATTTATTAAATCAAATATCATTAGGAAAAAATAGCAATCTGTTAAAGTTTTAAAGTAAAAAAAAAAAAAAAAAACTGCAGCCCACTGTCATTTATAAGACAAAAAACAAACTGGCCAGCACAACTGTCCTCAGTCCCAATTTGGCCATTTTAATAAAAAAAAACTAATAATTAAAACATAATAATAATAATAATAATAATAATATTATTATTATTATTATTAATAAATCAATTGTAACGAATTCTTTTGAATTTGTCTCTTTGGTAAAAAAAGAACATTTGAAAATTCCTGGATATCAACAATAGCCAAAATATATTTAAATTAATTTAATATGGTTCGCTTCTGGTGCTTCACACCTTTTTATTGCTTATTTTTATTGCAGAATTAAGGTCCAAGATTTAGAATAAAGTTTTCTGTAAAATGTTTTCTCTACTTAAAAACAATACAGTAGTGAAAGAAGACTTCTCTTACATCAGATTATATTCCCACCGAAGCAACAGCCGACAGAGGATTCCTTTTGGTCTTAAAGCCGTTTTCGATGGATTATTTTCATTACTTATGATGGCATAGCAGTCAAAATAGGATAAATGAGCTCATGTATGGGACAAATTCTGGACCTTTGTCAGTGAGGGTGCCAGGTCTTTCGAACCCGCCTGGCTAAAGGCCTGAATAATTAGGACATTTTTTTTTGCCTATAGTAAATATGTTTTAATAGATTGGCTGTAAAAGTGCACCTACAGGTGTTTCAGGAGCAGCTCAAGTTTATCCAGGTCATAATTTAATTTAATTATATGAATTTTGTCTAAAAAAAGATCACAGCCTTCCAGTTTCATCTTGGATGCATCCCAGACCACCTTCTGAAGTGGTTTGAGCGATCGGAAATCTGATCAGAATAAAATGAATGAAGTGAGCAAACAGCCTCAGTAACACAGGCGTGACGGGATTAGCGCCTTTTGCTGTGAAGTGACATCTGATGGCTGGGGACTCCGCTTGCCATTAAAGCTTTCGTCGGACAGTTATTTAAAAAACAATAATGTCAAAAATAGAGAAATGGAGGTCATGGACAAGTCAATAAATATACAGGACGTCTCGGCTAATGCGGTCAGTTAACCACAGATTTTCATCTGTTAGGAAGTACGTAACTTTAACCTTACTCTGTTTGGCAGTCTTTTTTTAACATGTTCAATATTTTGCGATCATAATGTCGCTGCCTGCCTTATCTGCCTCTCTTGCTCTTTTTGACCATATAACGTTACTCTGTATGGACAAAAAGCATAGTTCTGAGCTCTTTGGTATGGATGTCGCAAATCTGACCACTCAGTCATGTCACGTGACTCGCGGCTTTGAGGCTCCATGGGCCATAGTTATTTAAATTTACATTTAACACAATATATTTAATTTTAAATGTTATTATATTAATTATATAATAAGTATATTTTATAATATTAAAGCACATAAAATAGTTAAAAGTACAAATTCTGGACCTTTTGGGTGAACTATCACTTTAACACTTTGCCGCCACCTAA